AAACCTGTCAATGAGGACAACAGTGCAGCCATGACACCAACAATTGCTCCAGGCAGTACAAGCATTCAAGCCGCACTTCCAGCCAATGACACCAACAGCAACACAGCCACCGCGCAGCCAGCACCAGCAGCAGCATTGAGTGCTGAAGGGAATACAAGCAGTCCACAGCTACCGTCAGTCAATGGCACTCCTGGTGAAAACAAAACTGTCAATGAGGACAACAGTGCAGCCATGACACCAACACTTGAGCTAGGCAGTACAAGCATTCAAGCCTCACTTCCAGAGGCAGCGCAAAGCAGTCTACAGCTGGTTCCATACAATGGCACTCCAGGTCAAGGGGCCGCAGCCACATCACCTCCAGCATCACATCCAGCCATTGAACAACCAGCACCAACAAGCCCAGCTAGCCCCTCTACAGCAGCGCTTTTACAGTTGCTTGCAGAGGAAAACGCACATGAATCCAATGCGACACCCAAGGCGAAAGCCAAGGCGACGGCCAAGGCCAAGGCCAAATCGGCCTCCGCCTCCAGCAAAGCTAAAGCCAAAGCAAAGGCAACGACAAACCCAAAGGCCACGGCAAAGGCAAAGGGTGCATTCATTGCCAAGGCAAAAGCAAAACAGATGGCCAAGGCCAAGGCAGCAGCGAAGAGTGCATCAAAGGCACTAGTGGAAACACCATCCACGCCCATGGTGATCGATGATGATGATGATGATGATGATGCTCATCATCATGCTCCATCGACTAAGGGAAAACACACGTCTGGCAAGAATCAGAAGGAGAAGAAGTCAGACAAGAAGACAACAGATAAGAAAGACAAGAAAGACAAGAAGGACAAGAAGGATAAAACCGATAAGAAGGAGAAAAAGGAGAAGGACAAGAAGTCCAAACAAAAAGCGGACGGTGATGGATGTACCAGCCGACGTAAGAGATCGAAGAAGGATGAGAAGTTGTCTCCCAACTCGAAATCTTCAAAATCCAGGAAGACTTCTCAGGCGTCTACTTGGTCCCCCCCCCCCCCCCCCCCCCCCTCAACAAAAAAAATATAAACAAAAAGACACATAAAAAAACAGTCAATACTAAATCAACCAACCAAACAAACAATTTGTTGTTTAAAGATGTGGCTGAAACCACAACTTTGGGTTGCGCTGTTATTGTTTTTTTCTTCAATTGTGTTTCCACTGGACTGGTATTCAATATCCTGTGCAGGCCAACGCAAATGATGAACCATTGATCTTCAAGCCAGCATCAATGAACGGCCCTGTGGTGGACGCACTTCTCCGCAATGCCGCGGATGTGAGTAAGGACGTCCAGTGATTTGAACCAAGTCGAGGATGCCACATGGGCATGTTGTAGGTGGGGCCGGAATCACCAATGCAACCATATCAAATGATTCATTGTTTTTTTGTTCTGCGGGTTGCTGTTTTGTCTTGGCATGCCTTTTGGTAGCTCAGTCACCTTAACTGTTCTAGTTCAGACTGTTCAAATATTGCCAATAGTATATAATAGTATCCAATTGCTCCACCTCCATGCTGGTTTGCAACGCTACCGTTGGTTTTCCTCCTTGCAGAACCATGCTAGCCCAAACGGGGCTGCTTCAACAGAAGAAGCTGGTTCACAAACAATAGGTTGAGCCGAGTCGCTGTCTGTTTTGCTGTGTAGTTGGCGGTTAGGAATCTCAAACCCACGATCAAAATCACATGAATCAATGTGAGTTTTGGTAGTCTTGTGTTTGTTATGTGTTGGTTCTTTGTACTTGCAGCAGAATTGCTTAACCTGATGGACCTGAAGCAAAAGCACAGAATAGACTGGGGTCTGAAAGGACTCTGATAAGCTGGGAGAAAAAAAAACTGTCTGCTGAGCTCAGTGGATTTGCTTTGCAGCCTGTCAAAGTGGTTAGTCACATTCCAATACCCATGCCGTCAAATTTTGGTACTGGAAACACTTACCACATATATACGTATATAAAAACCCCCCACGGAAACGAACTTTTCCTTTTTCCCCATACCTTATGAAATTTGACAGTCACCGGGGTCAACCAGGGCGCCCAGGTACTCCCATCCTCTGTAGAGATGGCTTTTGAACAGAGGAACTGACAATATATGTATATATATATATAGCGATTTTAACAGTCACAGCCGATCCCAAAAACATCTTTTTTTTCGGTTTGGGCTTTGGGGATTCCCCCAAGAGAAATGCACTCTTCTCCTTGTGCTGGAGTCTACGCTTCCCAACATCGGGGCTTCGAGCGATCAGCATGGCGTGGGAATGTTCGTCGGCCTCTGAAGCACAGTATTTGCGGTTCACGCACTGTTCTGATCAGAACGGGTGGGGGGCGCATGTTTTTCTTTTCTGGCGGGGGGGAACGAACCAACGAACCACGAAGAGTGGATGAACGAACCACGCGGAACTCGCACTTCAAAGTACTATAGAAGCACTGGTTGAAGAGAGAAGAGCTTGACAATACCAAACTGCTGTTGTGGTCTCTGCAACTTTGAATCAACGTAGTGGAGGTCGATGCCTTCTTCCAGGCCTTCTTTGAGGTTGTTGGGAGAGTATCAAATCACCAGCCAGGGTACCCAGACCATCCATCCGTGTGGAAAGTCAGTAACCGTAACATACCGTAACCCCATGTATGAACCCAATGTAGAGATATAAACAACTATTCCATAATGAATCGTTTGGGGTAGTACATTCAAGTGAATGGCTGACAGTGTTGCTTACATTGCTTCCCTGTTCTATTTTTTGCCAGGGCCCCACATGAGCAATTCTGCGGGCTCCACCGCAACACCGAGGATCATCATGGGAGATCCCAACGTGGGGGTGCTCAGCAGAAGAAGCGGACCGCGCGAGCGCCCGCGCGCCTTTTTGATCCTTTTTGGACCCCAGAGCTCTCAGCGGCGGCTTTTTCCTGGACGGTGGGTGTGGAACGATGTGTATTTTTTTCATACAGAGGCAGTCGATTTGTCTTCTTCCAGCGGGTCATTGCCTGGAAGGTCTTCCAATTCTTCACTTTCAAACAAATCCAGTCGTGCCTCCGTTTCGAAGGTGGGGGGACCCGAGCATGTTGAGGTAGAACACGGAGATGGCAGTGGATCCACAGGGCTAAGACTTGTTCCCCCCTTCGTCCCCAATACACCTACCGACCTGGTGCTCTTCTATCTCCATACCACAATCCTCACTACCTTCGCCCACTCTGGTCCAGTTCGTCAGTTCCCCCTGGCCCCTCACCTCGTCAGGGCGTCGAAAACAAGGCCTGGACCGTTCCAAACCAACCGTGGTCCAGTTCCCGGCCTCCCGTCCCGGTTCAAACATGTTCAAACCGTCCCGGCCAACGACCCCTGCACCTCGGGGGCCGGTCCAACACGCCGTCCACGCCGTCCCAAACCCAAGACGCCGTCAGGTGAAGTCCATCTTCGTGAACATCTTCGGCGGCATCGCCCGCTGCGACCACATCGCCGAGGCCGTGGTGGCGGGTGTCAAGGCCGTGGGCGGCAACGCGGCCATCAAGCCGCTGGTGATCCGCCTCGAAGGCGCGGGCGCGGCGCAACACTCAGCGTGCTGAAGCGTGGGCGGAGGCGAACAAAGGGTGGGAGAACACGTAAGGTAGGCAACCATTCCACAAATGGATGGTTTGGGCATGTTTGGGTACTGAAGCTTTTCAGCTGGTATTTTTACATTATGTTTGCAGTTTTGTCCAGATGCGAGGGCCAACGGGGACTTGGGCAATGCTCCTGCAGGCACCAATGTGGAAGCCGGCATGAAGATCATTCAGGTGCGCAATGAGCCTCGCAGACTCACTCGATATCTGGAAGAAAATCCGGTGAGACCTTTTGATCTCCCTTTGCATGGTCAGCTCGAGGTTAAAGTCTAAGTGCCTTACAGTTATGAAACCGGAGACCTGCTACCACCGCGCTGCCACGACCAGGAGAGCGGGGTGGAGGCCTTTTTGACCAATGACTTCACCACGGCCGCCAAGAAGGTGCGACATCGTCGGTCCGCGTCGGTTTCTTCTTGACCTCGGTTCCCTGAGAGCGCCTGGTCTTGTGGCAAGTGGGATATAA